CCCTTTGTTTTTATCTAGCGTGTCGGTTTTGTCCTAAAAAAGTGTATTGCCAATAGCCATTGTTTCTAAGGCAAACTCAACTTTCATCCTGAAAGGGTTCTGTTGCTTTTATTTTTGTTAATTTTCTGGGATGAATGAAATATTTATAAGAAATATAACCTAATAAATCTATGTATTTAGTATTTCCTCTCCCGTGGGTTGGCCCGTGCCATTTCCACCGTTTGTCCCTCTCCTCCGCTCTACAAGATGCGCTAGCCTTGACTGCTTGTCTGTGCTTCTCAGAGGAGCGTTTTCTGAGGATTCTTCGTAAATTAACATGTAAAGCCAACCTCATATTCTGGTTATCCAGATTTGTTCCTGTGACTCCCGTAAGATTTGGGCTGTAAATCCCAGCGAAGTGTCACATGAGATGATATTAACCGATAGGAAGACAAGGTATTTAGGACATTAGGTCAGGCCAGCGGCCTGCGCGCCCCGCTGACTGCCGAACCTCCCCCCCCGCTGTAACTCCCCGCTGCTTTGGTGCAATTTGGCACCCGTGGACGCTGTGAGGAATCTCTGCTCATCGCCCTCTTCAGTAGATACTGCAGCGCCTTCTCCATCTTTGCCTCTGTAACTGTCGGGGGATACGAGGGTGGACGTTTGGAGCCCAAATTTGTTAGGACTCCAGCCTCGGAAAGGAGCGGTAGAAAAGGCTGCTGCAGGTCAGAAAAGGAGCGCTGAAGTCTCTCATCTCCCCAAAAGTTGGAGGACCGGGTTGGTTCCCCAGAGATCCAAGGGCCCGTCGGAAGGTGGGATGAGTTGCGGTGTTGGTGATGCCCATTCCCTCTGTGCCGACCAAGGGGCGATACAGGCCGGTATTCCGGCACCGCCGCCGAGAGCGGGAGGAGACCGGCCGCGCAGCGAGCGCGAAGGGCTGCGACGAAGCTGCCGCGGCCCGTGAGGGGCACCTCACACTGCCCCTGCGGGGTCAGTCAGGGGTCCCTCCCCGGGACCTCTCTCCCAGCGGGGTGGCCGTGGCACAGGCGTGGGGCAGCCCCACTTGGGTGGGGGGGGGGCACTCTGG